ACCAGTTATAGTTAAACTACTTATAAACTCTATCTAAGGTCCGTCCCTGCGTGCCGAAAAACCCTATGTGCCGAAAATGACCAATCGGATCGCGACGTTTAGAGGGAAGTCCATGGTCCTTGCGATCCGATTGGTCGTTTTCGGCACATAGGGTTTTTCGGCACGCAGGGACGGACCTTAGTGACCAAGTATATAAGTATTTGGGTTTAAATTCTCTAGCCCTACTTCTTCTCCTCATCTACTTACTATTCAATATGAATCTCAACATACTACAAATACTTACACCCTTCTTCCTCTATAGTGGAATACTAGCACGATATTGCCCTGGTGGTTTTATAGTCTGCGAATACGACCTGGAACGATCATGCAGTATTCAATGTTGGCCAAGCTGCGGCTGCCGTGATAGTACCACGTTTGCCTCAGACCGAGGGACGGATACCCATGTTTACACGCTACAAGGAAGCCATTGCACCTGGTCAGAAGCTAAAGGCGCTGACCTACCAGTTTGTTACAATGGACAAAGTTAAGGTTAGTATTTGTCATCTATTATAGAATAAATATGGTCTATACTAATGTTAAGCAGCATTATTAGCAGGAGGAAGTCTGTAAGGCCTAGGCCCCTCAGGCCTACTCAGCTACTATCTCCTTCGCCCTGTGGAGCCTTCTGCCTCACAGTTGTCCCTATTTTACTCTTCTCCTAGCCCTGCCTACCTGCAGCTGCTGTCACTCCTCCCCAGCTGCAGCTGCTGCTTTGTTGGCTGTTCACTGTTGGTTAGTTGCTAGATTCTTGTTATTCGACTGGCTATTACCTGGCTATTGCTTACCGTCTGCTGGCTACTTGCAGGCTTAATAGAAGGCTGTGCTGTGTTAAGAGTATGAATCCTAAGTAGAAGTAATATAAGACTTCCGGTGTTAAGACTCTTCTTGGGTTGGTTTTCGCGGATGAAGCAACAGGGTGATATGAACAGTATCTCTGCAAGTATAATGTCTGTATTGTACTTGTACTCAAAACTTAAGTTGAACACATCGAGCCATAAGGGTTCGATGCCTATTCCTATATACCTGTATGTTCCATATGTTCCACACTTGTTCACGATGTTCCGCGCGTGGAACATGTGCAACAATGCGGAACATGTGGAACACACGTGACTTGTTCCATGGTGGCGTTCCGCCAAGCGTGTGGAACGTGGGGTCCGCGCTTGCGTCATTGGCTGTCTGGCCATGGTCAATGAAAGAGGTCTTGACATGGGCTGCTTCCTTCCTTCTTTCCATATCTTGCGCTGTGTCCCTTCCTCAGGTTCGTAACATGCTGCCTAGCCTCTAGCTAGACTAGCCGCCAGCTAAGCTAGGTAATAGCTAATTTTCTGCTGTAGTTAGCTCTTTTACTAGGTATATTTACTTAGTTATATTATGGAATAAACAATGCGCTAGAGCCCTCATAGTTGTTAGACTCTTCTCTAATATACTAAATCATGAAAGTTGATGTTTAGGTTCTTGCATCATAGAATTTCTTAATTTTCTGAGTAAAAGGTGTTGTATTAGGTGACCTGTTGCACGCGCGGACCACTAATAGTGTCACGGTATAGCTCAGGGACAGGGAGATAGGCACAGGTATAGGTTCTATTGCTACAGACGTATCAGACAGGTTCGCACTACAGGTAGTGGGAATAGTAGACAGGACGTAGCTCAAGGAGCCACAGAACTGCGCTGCAGCGGTTTTGCAGAATCCGGGTGCTTGGGCCACACCCGGATTCTGTCAGCAGCCAATCAGAATCGTCAGGGCTTGGCTACTCCAGCTGGCGCCGTGACAGTACCCTCCCCTCTAGGCGGAGCTCCGTCGACGCGCTTACTTGGGCTTAGCTGGGTAGCGACGGTGGTAATTGCTAACAATCTCTTGGGCATTCTCTAGGTGGCTGGCAGGGACCTCAGTTGGTTCGTCGTAGCCAGCCCACTTCACCAGGTA